TCAAATTTATTATAAATACCTGAGCAAACTGTGGGCTTTGAATTAATTCTTCGGGTGTTCGATTGACATCAGAGGGTAGATTTGGGAACAAAGCTATAATCAATCCCAAAAAAAAGTAAATCCAAAAGTAAAAATCAGAAAAATAATATAACATGAATAAAATGTAAATTTTACCAGATGCAATCTCGGGATCGTTCAATAATGGGCCAATTATAGAAGGATTAAGAACGTTTGTTAAATTCACATCTAAAAATTTGACAAGAAAAACAATAAATTTAGAAAATCACAACATCAGATACAAATAAATAAAATCTATTATTTACCTGTCTGACTAGTTCCTTCTTCTGAATAAGGATAAGATTAAATATTAATAATTAAATACCCATTACAATAGTTAATGTTAATCACCATCAAAAAAAAAAAAAAAAAAAAAAAATATTCACCAGGCAATTGTACTCCTGACAAGATATTCTTTAAATTATTCAATTGTTCAGAAGTTAAGAGATGTTCAGATGTTTGTGCACCAGAACCTGCTTCAGATGTTGCGGCTGTAGCAGATTGTGGTTCACTAGCTGGAGTGGTTGATGGAATTGGGAGATTACTATTAAATTGATAGTTTAAATTGATAGTTTAATTGATAGTTTAAATTGATAGTAGTTTAAATTGATAGTAATTTAAATTGATAGCAGTTTAAATTGATAGTAATTTAAATCGATAGTTTAAATTAATAGTTTAAATTTAAAGTTTAAACCCAGTTTAATTTTGAAGTTTAAACTCAGTTTAATTTTGAAGTTTACAGAAATTGATTTAATAATATATATATATATATATATTTATTAAATAATAATATTTACCCAAATGCACCGTGACCTCGGAGAAGTTGCAATAATTGTTCTTGATCCATATTGAATCCGGCCAAATCATCCATTGAACGGAATGAACTACCCAATTGGCTTGAACTACTACCACCTTGATGCTGCCTACTTTCGGCTAATCCACCTTGTGGATCATTAAGTAATCGATTCACTTTATTAGCGTTTTCTTCATCTTTATCATCTTTAGCATCTTGCATCCAAAAGAATAACTTTTGATTTGATGATTTGAAATGAAGTAAATATACGCGTCCAGTGGTGCATTGTTCTACCCGGGTAAATTCAGCTTCGTCTGGAAAAACTATCAACTATTATTTTTATAAAAATTTGTTAAGAAAATAATTTTAAGAAAAAGCATTTAATATATTTAATATACATGCATCGTCTAATTTTCCTGTTTTCCTGTCTTTCCAGTAGAAATGCATTAGTTGGTCTTCCCCCTAAAAAAAATTTATGAAATTTTTTTTTTAGCAATAGCAAAGATTTTATTTATTTTTTTTTTATAAAGAAATATTATACCTGATCCATATAGATTAACCTTTAACGCGTGACAAAAAGCATGTTATTAAAATGTCGAAATATTATTTTTCCCTTACATAAAGAAAAGGGTTATAAATATCAACTTACCCCTTCCTTTCATCGGCTTTTAACATGTTTTCCTCTCTTATAAGTTTACCGGCTTTAAATTCCACCGGGTATTTACGTCGAGGTACCGGTGTGGGAAATAAAGAAGTCGACATCGCTGTAAATTAAACTTACTAAAAAAAGCGAAAAGTAATGCTCTTCTTATTCAACTATCTTGTAATAAATTTATTTAGGGAAATGACAAAATTTTTTGGACATATTAAGTAATTATGATAATAGTGTAATATTTGTATCATTTTCATCCATAATTACCATTTTAAGAATTCATTGTATATTGTTCATTAATAATACAATTTTTAACTCTTTCTTTTCCCATATGTTAAAATACAAAAATAAAAAATTCAAGTATTATTCTAGATACAAAGGGAGAAAATATATTTATGGTTAGTTTCACATAACAAGTTTTTCCAAAGAAATTTTTAAAGAATTATTTAAAAAAAAAATAATAGTAAATTTTTTTGGAGATTTATGATTTCCAATTTTGGGACTTTCTACAAGTGCAAAAAAATTTCAAATGTTATTCTCATCAAAAGATTTATCTCATTAAGAATTTGACATCATCCTGATTTTTTTTGAACCAAAAATAACTTTTCAATTCAATTTTTGGGGGAATTTTTATCATTTGACCATTGGGACCTTTAAAAAAATGTGACATTTGAAAAATAATTAGTAATTAAAAAAAATGTAAATTATCTTTATTTGTATAATTTATGATAAAGTTTTTTTTTAATCATATAATAATTCATTCTATTGTTCTAATAACTTTTTACCAATGAGATTGAGGCTGAGTATAAATAATTTAATGAATTCCCATTTTTTCTCAGTAATGTTTTTTTTTTTAAATTTTAAATCACTTTAGCTAGGGTGGGCTGATGACTATAACAAACTGTTGTGGAGACGCTGTGCAGATGGCTGATGGAACGATCAAAAATTTTCAGTTAGAGTAACATTTTTTTTTTTCTTATTTATTGAATCAAAAATATTCACCCAAGGGAGTTACTCAGGTTACGATTCTTGATTGGCGACTTGCTGATTAACACTTCTTTATTTTTATTATATTAATAATAATATGTGGTACTATGGGTTGATAGAAGTTATCAATAGTTTCTAATTGAAATCGAAACTTTTCTGTACTAGATTTTCCTGTCCCTGTTAGAAAATTTAGTAAATCCGTTTTCATCATTAACATTATCCGAACCTTCTAATCTTTCAAATCTTGTCATATCAGATCAAAGCACTAGTTCACAATTTAGGAAGCAGTCATCCCTCATTTGTCATCGAGATTTTTTAATTTTTTTTGTTTTAAAAACTTTTCTTTCTTTTCCACGGCCTTCATCAAAACATTTGTTCTTTTTGTTGCTACACGTTTCTCTGTTTTTATTGTATTTGTAATATTTTTATCTGGAGTCACATCATATTCCCTTTTATCTCGAGTTGTTTTAGGTTTGTATTCCATATTCTTTATCTGCGTTTTCTTTAAGGTTTTCTAAATTGTTTTTTTTATTATTACGCCTTGTTCTGTTTTTTTTTTTTAAAGTTTTTTTTTTTTTTTTTTTTTTTTATTATTATATTTTTTTTTTTATTTAAATAAATATTATTTTATTAATTATTTATTATTTTTTTTTTTACGTTAGTTTTTTAATTTTTTTTTTTTTTTTTTTCTCCTTTTTTTTTTTTTTTTTTTTAAATTTTTTTTTTTTTTTTTTTTTTCACAGGATAATATTTTCTTTTGAATAAAAAAAAATTAGTATATTAGTATTGCAATATCTTTATATACCCATTATAGTTTTTTCCTTAATAATAATCGTTAACTCTGACTAAAGTTTTCTTATATCCGTTCTTTTTTTTTTCTAATTCAAACCAAGCCCATATAGTATTATTAATAATAAAGACCTGACTTACTGATAGTAAATTATTATAAATATTTCATTGTTCCTTCTACTGCAAAATCATCAAGCTTTCGACTTTCTTAATCATAAAAACGGTTTGACTTTAACGCATTATTGTTAAAAGACCCGAATGAACTTTTAATATATTATTGTTTATTATTATTATTTATTTATTATTTTTTTTTTTAAAAAAAAAAAAAAGGTCTCATAAACTTCTCTCTTAATAAACCATTGTTTAGTTACAAGGCTTTTTGAATAACCTACAAAAATGTCGTTTAAAGTTAACGACAATTACGGTTTTCCCCCACCTCAACCAAATACTTTTTATTACCATGCCTCAGGTGATTCCGATAATGAACATGAATATGGAACACCACATTATTCAAACGAAGATTCTAATCTTGAAGACGAGATTAGTGAGGGAGAAAATGAAATTATCTCAGATAGTGAAGAGGAAACAAACCAGAGGGAATATTCATTTCAAAATACTGAAACTTTTATAAATGAAGAAGAGGAAGAAGAAGAAGACGACGAAATGGATGTATGTACTTCGGATACTGATTCAGATGATGAACAAGATAATTTCACGATACAAAATAGAGAATTTGGGGGTGATAATAATTTTAACATTCATCAAAATCGAGTATCCAATGGAAATATGAATAATGTGAATGGAAATATGAATAATAACAATAATATCAATGGAAATATTATAAATTTAAATAACAACAGTAATAACAATAACAACATTAGTAGTAATAGCAACTTAAGAAATCATAATAATAATATTATTATTAACAATAATAACAATAATAATAATAACAATAATAATAATAATAATAATAATAATAATAATAATAATAATAATAATATATTGCCTCCTATTCAATTACTTCACGGAAATCAATCATCTTCAATTTCTACTTCAACAACATTAAATACATCTATAACAACACATAATAATAGATCAATTGAATCGGATCTTCCAATTTTCACCTTTAATCCTAATCCTATTAATACGCGTAATTTACCTAATCTGGAGAATACCTCAAATACTTCATATAGTGATGTTTATAATATTCCACCTTACACAGAAAATTTTCATTCTTCACAACAAAATATGTTTAGATTCCCAAATGGAAACCATCAACCTCCGAATTATCGTGCTTCCAATAATGAATCATTAATTTCACAATCATCGATGCCATCATCTTCGTCTTCGTTATCAGCATCATCATCGTCATCATCATCATCATCATCATCATCATCTTCATCTTCATCTTCATCTTCATCATCTTCATCATCATCATCTATTAATACAAATATGCCAACATTAACCCAAAAACAAAATCCTTTAAGATTTGGATTCCCAGAATCTCAAGAATTACGTAATAATAATGGAGCTGATGAGGAAGATGAAGATGGATCATCATCAACAAATTCTTATGATACATCATCATCACGGAAAAGGGCTAGATCAATTTCAAACGATTGGACTAATATTTCAAATCCTCATTTTGCCCCACCAATACAATTTGGTACTTTAGAACCTGTTAATCGAGACATTACAAATAGACAAACTTTGAATCATAATTTAAGATCTTCTACACATTCATCAACTCCACAACCGCCACCGCCACCGCCACCATCAAATCGTTCACCTGCAGTAAATATACTGCCAATTATTGAAGTTCCTCCAGTTTCATTATCAACACATACTAATTTTATGTCACAATATCCTCGTACGAATTCTTACGAATCATCATATGCACAATCATCTTCAACTCCTTCTGTATCATCTCAACCTTCTACATCAATGCGTTCACAACCTCAACAAACTCTCTATTATAATCGTACATCATATGTGAATGGAAATTCAAGGCGAAATTATCCAAATACTTCACATATATTAGATCCTCCTCCTCCTCACTTAAGGGGAACAAATCTTCGCAACAGTGATGAGCAACATAATTATAATAATAATTTTTCTTCGGATGGACGTACCGTGATTTATCCTGAAGTTTCATCGTCTTCTCAAGAACGAAGGCATCCACACACAAATACTAATATAAACAATATAAATAATATAAATAATATGAATAATATTAATAATTCACAAGGACAAAGAGGATCTTCCTCAACTCGATGGTTACCTCGTGCTGAGATACCAAATCGTCGTAATGAAACATTAAGACCAATAATTCCAAACGCCAATTTCCGTCGTCCACCACTAATGCGTCAAAATATTTTTTCTTCCAATCATCCAGCCTTCATTGGTTCCATGCAAGATTCTGTTAGAGCACAAACAAATGATGAGGAACAGGACACCAACATTGAAATACCAGAAAGGTCCGATACTGAAGTAAATGCTACGACCAACCCTATTTCTCAAAATCGTATTATGCCCAGACGTACCGAAATACATCATGATACAAATACACGCGACTTGAGATCTTCATTTCATTCTCGAACAATATCTACGTTAGCTACAGCGGCACCACCGCAAGCTCATACAACTAGAAGTAATTCAACAAATAATCATAGTTCTGACGAACAATTAGCAAGAAGAATACAAGCGCATGAATTCAGTGCAATTAATAATGTAAGTTTTTTTTTTTAATATATATATATATGTGGATAATAGTTTCATATGTCTTTTATTAATATTATTGTTTGATAATAACATTTTTATTTTAAAGAATGAGGAACACAATGCACTAGCCAGGCTTCTTGCTGGAGTAAGAGGTATGTATAGTTAATTGTACTCTTTATTTTATTATTATAGATTTATATATTAAATATTTGGTTATTCTTTACTGGAAAAAACAGCTCGTCCTACATCTCGAAGAGAAACAGGTGCAAACCCATCATCGTCAACACGTAATGGTTCTACTAGAAGGGATACATCAGCGCGTGTTTCAATACCTAGGTTACCGGAAGTGTTATCTCATCACGATCGACATCACAATGAAGAACGTGGTAATGAATCTCGTAGCCGGGCTCGAAGTGGGCAATCAAGAAATGCTAGACAAAGTGGACATGGACATTATTTACATCATTTCATTCCAAGTTACCCATTTTTTGGTAATCTTATTAACTCTGGAGAAATAGAGTTAGAAGAATTTTTGGATTTATTGCCAGATATTTGGGGGTACGCTATCATTTTTTTTTTTAATTATAATTTTTCCAAAAGATATTTTATTTTATCATTGTATTGTATTTTCATTATCTATTAGAAGTGGTATTGCGGAAAATCCGGACAATTACTTGGTTTGTGATTAATAATTGGAAAATTAAATAAAAAGTATAATTATATCATATTAATTTTTCATTTAATTTATAGGATGAAGATGAATTTGATTCTAGCTATGAAGGTTTAATTCGACTGAGTGAACGTATTGGCGATGCGAAACCAAAAGGTGTACCGTCAAGTTACATTAATAGCTTGCCAACGAAATTATATTCAGTTGGCAAGAGTAAAAGTATAGAAGAAAGGTATTTCAAATTTTTAAATTTAGAATTTGAAATTTAAAAATTTTGTATTTACACAATTTTATTTAGAATGTTATAATAATTTATCTTTGTTTTAAATATTCAGATGCACGATATGTTTGACAGATTATGAAAATAATGATCGGATGAGGGGCTTGCCATGTTCTCACGATTTTCATCAAGAATGTATTGATAATTGGTTGAATAATTCTGATAAGTGTCCTATCTGTCGACGTAGCGTCACGGATAAATGAGAAAAAACAAAAAAAAAAACTTCTGTTTTTTTTAAGTGTTTAAGATTTTAACATTAAATATGATGTTTATTGCAAGGATTTGATTTATGTAATTTTGTATAGACGAACTTTTATTTTGCTTTTCCTTTTTTGTATTTACTATCCTTTTCTCTGAAAAGATAAAAACAATAAATTTACTGACCATTTTTTATTTTATTTTAAATAAAGCAGCTAGTTAAAACAATGCATTCATTTGGAGCACACTTTTTTGGACATTTTTTTTATTTTAGTATTTTAGTAGTTCATCTACTAATTTATTTTTTTATAATTCAATTAGCACGTTCATAGTTTAGACAGAAATTTATTTAATTTTCATTGTTTCTATCCCTAATTAGGATTAAACTAATGTACAGAAAATTTCATGTCTAATGTATATATTTTAAAATTAATTTTTGAAAATTAGTCATTTTTTTTTTTTCAATAAAATTATTATTGGTTGTACGATTTACTTAAATGAATTTTATGAACATTCCTTAAAATAATAACTCGGGGATGAATTTAAATGAACATTCCTTAAAAATAGGGATAAATTTTAATTCGCAGATTACTATCGTATGATTAAATGCAGGTGCTAAAGGGGTTAACCATATTTGTCACCGGTCTTCGCCACAATCGTAAGTGGCGGTCGTCGCCGCGTCGCCACTCCTGCGCCGTCTGACTGCCAAATTTGCTACGTTTCGCCACATTAGCAATCATGTGATAATGGATTTCGCTCAGAGTACCAATTTCTTCCTCGTTTTCATCTTTGATATCATTAATATAATTATGGCCGAATTTCAATC